AATTAGTTAAACACATTAAATGTGTATCCAGATGCATTTTTCCGTTCCCCGTCAACCAGGTGTGATTTAATTCTGTTTTTTAAGTGATTCTACAGAGTCAACAGGAAATAAATTTAGTTTGTTTTATTTTGGTGTGCTGCATTTTTTTTTCTTTTTTTGAGAGCAGTGAAGGTCAAGAGCTGCTTCTGGCTCAGATCAAGTCACTGCACTTGAGTGCTTTTACTGATATGGAACCACTTAAGAGTTAAAGCGTGTGTTGAAAGCCTCCCTGAGTCTGTGCAAATTTTAACATAGGTGATTCTGGGGAGTGACAAACACTGTTCACTCCCCCCACAGACTGTGTAAAAAAAATGCACTCAACCATCTTTAGCCAATCAGTGAAGCCAAAAGGGGGGAAAATCAGAGACAGGAAGTGATTAGAGAAATAAAGTAAGAGCTGCAGAGTCAAAGGTGTTGAATGTAAAGATGTAGTAAAGAAATATTAAATGTATATATAAAAAATGTAAAAATTCTGCTTCCTGGTCAACAGCAGAATGATGTTTTCTCAATGTCATGTCTGGGTCTCTGCATTCTTCTGCTTGTCTCGACTGTGTTTTCTTGGTATTGGAGCATCATCACAGAGTTAGAGTTAGAATCAGACCAATCGGAAATGTCCACTTTCCAAAGAAAGCTTTTAAATACCACAAGACAGACTTTGCTCATGACCTTCACTGTACTTTCACCAAGATAACGCAAGAACAAATGTTTCGAGAGGGAGATCCACTGTACGCTGTAAGACTCTGGAACTGATTCTGGAACAGTTTCTCCAGTAGTCGTACTGTATTTTTAGCCCAAGGACTGACGACACAGTCGTTAGTGAAAGCACGGCAACATTTGCAACATCTTAGAACTTTGTCCTGGAACTGGGCTCAGTCAGTGACTGTGATCATTTACACTTAGACCACAAAGTTAACTGGAAAATGTTTACTGTCCTTATAAACTTGGTGGTGGGTGTAGGTCGTGTCGTAAATATACCTCCATCAGGAGTCGCATCGTAAAGTACGAGAAAATCCACCGAACTTCCTGTCAGAACTTGCCGTCAGAGTCTGAAACTAGTTAGCTATGGTAATCTTTCATATGCTGTCCGTAGCCCCCCCCACTCCCTCCCATGTGCCTGTGACGTATCGTGTTTATGGCTGCAGATGGTGAGTGCAGCTAATACTGGTCTGGCAGCCTCAACAAATGTGTGTTTCTTTTTCCTCACCATTTCCAGCGTGAAGCGGTTGTAATGCTGTTCAAGTGACATCAGCGTTTGCAGCTGTGCAGTGGACAATTAAATGTGGAATCAAGGAGTAGGAACAGGGGGGCGGGGGTAGGAGGTGGTGGTGGGGGGGCACTGCATGTGTGGATGAGGTTAAAAAAAAGTCTTTGGCTCTGACTTCATCATAAATTGCATTAACCATGGCTGCTCATGATAGTGTCACATCAGCGAGTTCCAGCACTCTGAATCCAGCCTAATTTCCTAACTCTCATAAAATATGGTCACAGCAGGGCAATTATGGTGTGGTCAGAGTTTTTTTTTTTTTTGCTTGTTCTTCGACTGCTTTAACTTTGAATGAAACTTAGTCCCCAGCTGTTGTTTACACATTCCTCAAACTGTAACTGTAGTTCAATTAATGCTTAATTGCGAGGTGGGACACGAAGGTCATTAGTGGCTGCTGTATGGCAGCTGGTACGTGGACTAGTGACATAGCGAAGGCGCTATTGCTTTTAATAAGGCCACCGTGACTGTAAGGAAGTGAATCGGCTCTTTTTCACTTGGGTTTTGTAGCCAAAAATAGCCAAAAAAAAATTGCCAAATAGCCAAAAATAACAGGAAGAAATATAATCAACGGAGATAAATAATTGTGTTTACTTAGCTTTGGCTTTGTTGAACTGTTCGTAATGAACCTGTGAATGGATATTGTCAAGTTTTTAACAGTACCATAAACAAGGGAGGTGATAAACCAAATGTTGTTTATTGCCATGGCAACAATACAAAACAAGGACAAACATGATTCTGGACCATAGGGATTTGATACTTGAAAAAAATATTCTAGTTTGTTAGAACTTCTCTGTGTTCTTTTGGTTTCTCTTAATTATTTTTAAGAAGATTTTATTTTATGTTTTGGTTCCTAGTTGTGCAATCTACATGGCAAAGATCAAAAAGTTTGTGCGTTTACACCCCCTCACCCCCCTGGGGGTAAAAGCTGCATCTGACTCCACCATCAGTATTAAACCCAGAACAGTGTTTCCTTTATTCCCACAATCAACAACCTTTGGTCTGGACTCTCCTAACTCCACTGGATAAGACCGTCTTCTCCTTCAGCCAATCAGCTGAGAGCTTCTTATTGCTTTATAATTACATGTATTGGCGCGGTCTCCCCCAGAGCTGCATTCTCTTTCAACAGGGTTTGTTATGCAACACATAATGGCAATCTTTCATTAGATGCTAATGAATCAAAAGCCGAGGTGGGCGGGGAACCCCAGACTGATTCTCCACAGATAGAGACCAATTAGATGCTAATTCTTTCACGTTTACAACACTTGCAGATGGTTATCAGTTCATGTTTGTGTTTGATAGAGTATCTGCTCAGGCTTTGGGTGAGAGATGTGTCCTAAAAGGGAAAACTTTCCTGGACTGCCACTCCACTGATGTTTTGTTATTTCCTTAATTTTTTCCCCCTGTCGTGGGCAACAATGGTTGGACTCTGTTCAAGTCCAGATTCAACAGGAGACACGGTGGCATCTACTTTCTCTGGTCTTGTTTGTTCTTTTTTTTTTTGAAGTGTTGTTTGACGAGAGGTTAATGATTCTTTGTTCTATACAACTAATTTTAAAAGTGTGTGTGTGTGTACTGGGTATACCACTGTTGTGGGGGACATTTTTTCAGGTCCGCACTAAGACAAAGGGTATTTTAAGGCTCAGTATTTTATGATCAGTCAGGAATATAACTGGGGTTAAAGAAAGGGTTAAGATTAGAAATACATGTCGTTGGTTAGGTTTATGGTGAGCTTGTAAAAACTGAAATAAAAACCAATGTGTATGTTTGTTTCTTGAATAGCTATATTTGTGGGACATCTTTTTGGTAAATTACTTTTTGTTTTGTAGACATCATTTGTCGACGATCCCCACTGAGGGAGGGGATATTTTGAGCTTCAAGATTTGAAATATGATCAGAATTATGTTGAGATTGAGATTTGAGATGGTATATTTTGAACTTCAAGATTGAATTTGGATCAGGATTAAATTAGGGTTTGATTAGTTAGGGATTAAGATTAGGTGTACATTAGTAGTAGTTAGGGTTAGGAGCACTGACAAAACCCCAATGCGTTTGATTAGTTTAGTTTCGATTAGGTGTACATTAGTAGCAGTTAGGGTTAAGGTTAGGAGCACTGACAAAACCCCAATGTGTTTTGGGAGTTTGGGGGGGGGTTCTGTGTGCGGGCGGGTGTATCAGAAAATGTCCTCTAAAGCAAGGACTACTTCAGATGACATATGCAGATTACCCATCGGGCTGAGCCACAAAATAAAAGTGTCCAAGTTCATTTCCTCCTAATTCTTACAGTTTCGTGTTTTGACACCAAACAGGGTTCCGCCATGTTGGTTTGGGAGCTGGGATGTCTTTAGAGCATCGTTATAAAATCTGATCATTAATGTTGCGGTATTTGCTGGCTGGCGGTAATCCAGATTATAGCACATGTAGACTGATACTGGTCCTTTGGAATTACAGTTTCTGCCAGAGATTTTTCCATACATTCAGAGTTGGCATCAAACTGAATCTCTGCTACATTACTAATGTTATGATAATGGGGATTTGTTCCAACATAAACCCTTTTCTCTCCTCTGATTTTTCTCTTGTCCTTGGCTGTGTGCCGTCAGGAGGAGACCACGTACTGACCAGCAACACCCTGATTTTTGAAGCCGTGTTTTTGTCTCTTGATGGAGAGATTGTTTACTCAGGATTAATTATCTCAGTTTACAAGGCCTTGGAATATTAACTGCCGCTTGACTCATGCTGGCTTATTCATCTCCCTCTCGACCCCGCTGGGTACTTTACCCTTGGGAACAGGATGCTAACTTCAGACAAAAAGTAAACTTTAATGCCCTATTGGAAGATATGTGGCAGGAAAGGGTGTGCGCTTCCTGTCTTGGAGGCCTCCAGACGCCGTCTGGTTGCGCTGATCCAGTGCCTTGCTTGACTCGCGTCGGTGCCAGCCTCTGTATCTGTGATGCTTGTCAAGTCAAGTCAGTCCTGAATGATGTGATGGCTAAACTATTTATTTATGAAACCCTATCTTCAAGGCTGATTTTTGTTGCCAACTTAATGATACCCACCGTTGATGTGTCATCACACTCTCTTTCATCTCCCTTCTACGTCCTATATATTTTTTAAGTCTGGAATGCACCTGCAGTCTTATGACTACTTCCCATATCTGCTGAAGCAGTTGGCTGCCCTTCCTGTGGCAGTACAGTATAGCCTCAAGGACAAGGGTTTTAGTGTGGCAGCTGCAGAGTCGGGAGTGTGACTCCACTTAGCCTGTCTGCTTTGGTGTTTTCCTCCTGAATATGCCCCTAAGGGACGGCTGTGGAACTGCGCAAGAGTTTCTCCATGTGTGTTTGACTGCACACAAGTGAATTCAGTTGTATGAGGACACATGTCGGAGAAGCAGCTCTGCCTCATGGTATGGGGTTATGTAAAGTGGCGCTGCAACCTGTTAAAATATTTTGCTCCTGAGTCACAGTAAAGCTCAGTAAACAAAACAAAAAAAAGTGCTTTCAGCATCATGTTCACGTTTGTGTAGTGGGAGGGCTGGAATGTGTCTCATAATTAATATCATTCAAAATGCTGGAATACTTGGAGCATGGGTTAGGGAAGGGGCCTGAGTTTATATATGTTGGAGTTACAAATTGTTATATTTGATTTACTGCAGACTCTGTCTCTAATTCTCTCTCTCTCTTCTTTTCATGTTTTTCTCCAGCAGTGCGAGTGTGGTGATAGGAGCTCCTAAGGCCAACACCAGTCAGGTCAATGTTGCAGAGGGTGGATCTGTGTTCTACTGCCCGTGGAGTACCAGACACTCAGACTGTCACACCATTGAGTTTGACTCAGAAGGTAAGCACTGCAGTGGAACACACTTTTACAACCATGTGTTGTTTTCAACCATTATTTCAAGCCACACAAAGTGTACAACGTGTTTTTTTGATTTTTTGATTTGATTTGATTTTTAAATGTCACGTGTATGTGATGATCGGTCTGAATGAATGAAGACTTTATCTTATTACATTACCCTATTAAGTCGAAGGCTCGTAAAAAGTCTGGCCGTTGTTCCTACACTCCTACAATTTTGTAACCATTAGACCATTTCCTCTCTGCTCCTGTTGTCAGCAACAGACCTGGAGTCGGGCGTCAGTGTTCCACTCCACTGACCGGAGCTTGGCCACCTTGTCTCCTGGATCCAGGATAATCATTTCTTCTTGTTTTTGTCTGCTCTTTGTGGGGGGGAGAAAAGGATAATGAAGTGTTGAAGGGATTTTTGCCGGACACTCCCTCATTCTTTCGTTTCGTGTTTGTGTTGGTTTGCCCCAGGAAGCTATCGTGAGATAAGGGGCCAATAAACAAATGTGTCACACAAAGAAATGTCCTGTTGGTATGACAGGTGAATCAGACACCGTCGGTCCTGACAAAAGGATCAGGATTAGTCAGATGTGAGTAAAGTAGCTGTGGAGGATCTCTGGAGGAAGTGTGTAAGGTGGCCTGAGTAAGCGGATCCACATTTCAGCGAGATGACAATATATCCGTCTGTTTGTTTTGAACAACAATGGAGTGAGGATAGGGGCAAATTAGAGAGAAAAAACAAACATGTCGTGACTGAAAACAGGTACAAAAAGCATCAAGGACGACACAGCTCAAATTTTATATACACTATATATTTTTTTTTATTACCCTGAATGTTTTCAAGCCTGGTGTAAAATTCCTTCGTTAGATGTTGTTGCTTGATACCCTCTCTATCTTTTCCTGAATGTTTTCAAGCCCGGTGTAAAAAGAAATTCCTTCGTTAGAAGTTGTTGCTTGATACCCTCTCTATCTTTGCACTGATTCTGCGCAGCTTCAAATGTGTTGCACATCCTTCAGTGCTGGCCGGAGGCCACTGAGGGAGATGTCATGTGCACGCACAGAGGCCTCATGGTGAACGTTAGTCCCCTGGGTTGTCAGAGAGTGTCCTTCAGATTTTTAAAAAGTCTTTGAAGGAACTGATTAGAGCGCCAGAGTCGGTTCTGACATCTGGATCGTAGCGGAGCGACCGTACAACGGAGAAAAATTCAATACACGGACATCTGCTCGCCACCGTGCCTGAGCCAAACAGCTGTTCAATGGATGACATTTACTGCAGCGAATCCATTCAGTCTAGCTGTGACCGTTTTCTCTGACAATGTTGATAGTTAAGTGTGGAGCCATAAAAACAAATACATTCATTGATGAAGCTCGCGGTTTTGTACTCCAGTTCTAGAAACGTTGGTACGCTTTCTAAAAGAGTGACAACAACCAAAAGTACACAGAAGTTATTCATTCACAAAATGGCCAAAAAGAGATCGTCTTAGTGAGATTTTCATAAACATTTGGAAGCGAATATAACGAATTCTTGCGGTTTATTAAGTGTTGTTTTTGTGCATTCTACCAGGATATAAGAAGGTCAGAACTTTTATGTTGAAAAGTTCTGATGCCTTAAGGTTTCTGTCATGGCTCTCGAAATAGTTTTATCGTTGGATTGATCAGAACACACTTCAATAGAAGACCTGTTAAAATGATTGAATCTCTGTCTGATCCCGCTCCATCTTTTGATTCGTCTTTTCCCAAAACTTGAAAGAAGGTAGAAGGGAGTTCAGTCTTTATTCAAGACAAAGAAACAGATCGTGAACCGATCTGTGCGAAAGATGTCCCCCAGAATTCTACAAAAAAAAGGAACTCTGATGGAAATAGCAGAAATGTTTATTCTTAAAGGGAGGAATTGTACAAAAATAGCTTTGATTTTTTTTTCTCTCTTCTGGTATTGGAACAGTTTGACTTCTCCTCCTACACATAACCTGAGTTGCTCAGAAGTAGATGAAGTGGGTTAGGGTTATAACGGTGTTAAAGCTCTCTGTTAACACACACATTTTATACCCATCTCTTTGCCCCAATGTGTTGGACATCTATTTCTCACCATGTTTCTAAAACTTAAACTGAAGGAATGTTTAACTGCGTGGACCTGGAGTATTTTTAAAACGTGGCGTCCTAGGTCTCACTGTGTTTGAGCTCTGACACAGGACACAGCTCCTCTTAATTAACTCTTCTAATTAGGTCAAAATGGTCAGAGGCCTCCTCCCATCCACTTCCTCTTCCACTGAGATAACAGCCTGTCTATCTGAGAGACGGATGGGGTAGGAAGGGCAGCGGCGGGGAGAGGGCGGGGGTGGGTACATGCAGGATGGGATAAAAAAACAGGGAGGGTAAGAAGACCAGGCGGGGGGGCCGGGGAGGGGGGCAAGAGAAACTAGAGCCTTGTTCTGCCCGGTCGGTCCCCCTGTGCTCTCCTGCTGTCTCCTGCTCCTCTTATTGGGACAGCTGATGTGATGAGTGAATTTTGCCATTTGTCTTCAACCCCACACGAGTTACACACACACACACACACACAATGGTAAAGGCTGTCACCCCACTAATGACTGTCCTGTCACACACACTTCAAAGGGGATGGTTGGTCTGTATGGATGCAGTCCAGACCCCAACACCGCTCTGTGGGTCCCATGGGAAGTCGTGTCGGGCACCGTGTCACGTCCCGGCTTCCCACGGCGACGTTGGTCAGATGACATGTTATTGTGGCCTGTGTCTGGCTTCTCCTCTGAATCTCCTCCGTTTTCATCCGAGTGCTTTTCACGTGACTCCAGCTGTCGGCCTTCAGTCGCCTCACACAGACAACAAACAGAGCTGTTCACTGCCCATAATAGGAGCGACAGAGTTAGCACTGCCATGTGACCACGTTACCTTGTTTCTCTAACAGTAACCTTAACGTACTCTGACAAACGGGAGGTGATTTTCAAGGTTCAAATGATGATGACACAACTGCAATTATTTAAAAATTCATTATAAAATATGACGGTTGGTCAAGTTTTTGTTGGGGCGACGGGGCAGGTTGGGGGAATGACCAAAAAAGTTTGAGAACCCAACGTGGGAGGGTGGGTTTGTACCGGTCTAATAAAAACACTGGCACCTGAGTTAGGAAAATATTGTAGAGGTGTGTGTAGTTTAAAAAGAAGTAGCCGGCTGCTGAGGCAGATTAGTTAAAGTAACAGGATCATATGGAGCAGTTTGGAGAAGTGCTTATGTGATTGCCTGTTGTTTTCACACATGGACTTCTGAACATGTACCACACTGGAGGAGGACGGATGGCGGGAGGGGGCGGGGGGGTTAGGGTGGCTGCTGTTGGACCATGATGAATAACGTGGGCAGGAAAGGCCAGACATGGAGATTAAGCAGAAATACAGGCTGGTTATTAAAAAACTCTAATCTCTGCTTAGAAGGAGGAGGAGGAGGAGGAGGTGCTGCTTTCTGAATGGAACAGAGAAAAACGTTTTGGAAATTAAAATTCTTGGTGGTTAGAAAAATTGAACAAGGCGATGGAGATAATACTGGAGGCACAGTGAGGCCGAATGAAAGAGAAGCGTGGGCCTTCACAGAGATTACTGAGGAGTTGTTACGAGGAGGCCAAGGCCGTAGTGTGTATGTTTTCCTTGGACATCAGTCACGTCGTTGTTTCCATAAAGACACGGAGGAGGCCTTCGCCCTCAGCTCCTGGCTGCCTTTTTGGCTGGAAATACAGAGCAGGGCCAGGCAGACGGGATAGGGAGGCCGAGCCCAGGCTGCTTTCTTCACATCCAAACAGGTCGCGATCCTTTGTATCTATCAGTTATCGCTCCCTGAGAGATGCTGCTGAACTCACTCTCAACTCCGCCCCGGTTTCATGACATCCGCAGAGAAGAAACGTGTCTGAGAGAGAGAGAGAGAGAAAAGTCCAAGGTGTAGTGGTTTCACAAAATGCTTAGACTTGGAGTCAGGTTTTTTCACTTCAGCCCTCAGCGTTGCTGTGGTGAGACTGCGAGTTGGGCCAAATCAATTTGTTTGGATTTCAGTCTGTCTCCCATCAGTGGTCTGTCTTCCAATAAAGATGTGTTTAAACCTGACTCCTCTGACCATCTGTCACGTCACCTGCTGCCTGCTCTGTCAGTGGCCAGGTGGTCAAACACGGTAAAAAGGTCAGGGAGGTTAAGCCCACCCCGTCAAACTCAGCCAATCTGGGATCAACTACAAAAGCCGTGCAACGAATACCAATCTGTTCAAATTCACACTTTTCTATGCATGAAAAATCGTGGAACTGAAGTCCCGAGGCCTGCTGTCTGCCAATTACAGTCCAGATGTTTCCAAGGACTTGGGAGGGAGAGGAAGAGGGATTTGGGACGGTGAACGTCCAGCTGAAGGAATGCATGTTTTCTCCGTAGTAACTATAAATCATTTTCTTGTGTTTTTCTCAGGGGATCGCACTGTTTCACTCAACAACACAGAACATCAGGTTGATTTTAAGTCTCACCAATGGTTCGGCGCCACCGTACGTTCCCACGGTGACACGATTCTGGTAAGAGAACCTTCTAGGTCATGGGGAAGATTCCGGGGGCTGGGTTTTGAAGGAGTAAAGTTTCTGCTCTGTTCAACATTATGGCCACTCTCGGTCTTTTTCTTGATCCGCCTGCTGTTCAGGCTGATAGCACTGGTAGTGACCTCAGTTGAGTCACTAGATACACTGCTCCAGATGTACCGTGACCTCATTACAGGTCCCCCCCCCCCGAGTTCACTGGGATATTGTTACAGCTCGGGAAAACGTTTTTCTCTTAGAAGCTCAACTTGTCACAGCGTCCCCCGTTCTCCCATTTCTGTGTGAACCCTCTCATTTCTCCTCCTCTTCCCTTCACGTCAGGCTTGCGCTCCTCTTTACTCTTGGCGGACTGAAAAAGACGTTGCCCACATGGACCCTACAGGAACCTGCTACCTCTCAGTGCATAACTTCACCAAATTTGTAGAGTATGCCCCCTGTCGCACAGGTAAGAGACTTCGATACGTACCTCGCACCAGATATTTAACCACTTCCTAAACCTTGCCCCTCTTTTTGATATTTTTTATAGAAATCAGCGAGGCCGGGGGACAGGGGTACTGTCAGGGAGGATTTAGTGCTGACTTCACAACGGTAAAAACATCCTCCCATACTGAATCATTCCTATCATTTGATATTATTGGTTCTTATTGTCATATGTTTTTTTTTCTCAGGATGGGAAGGTTGTTCTGGGAGGACCAGGCAGCTACTTTTGGCAAGGTGCGTCAACTACTACACAAAAAATAAACATCCAGTAGTTTGACTGTTCAATGTCTATTTTTAAACAATTTCCCTTTTCCTCTCACTGTAGGTCAGGTGATCTCCGCGGCCAAGGAGAACATCATCAAAGCCTACTACCCGGGGTACTTCATGCAGTCTGTCAAGGACCTGATCCAGACCAAACAAGTCCAAGTTGCATATGACGACAGCTACCAAGGTGAGAGAGTTTTGCCTTTGAGCGAATGCTTGTAAGATCAACTCACATCAACACAAACATCGTTCCACTCACCTGGGCCTGAGATAACATCAGTATTCCATTGACTCATCAGGATACTCCGTCGCTGTTGGGGAATTCAGCGGTGATCAGTCAGAAGGTGAGTCCAAAAAAATTGGAGAAATTGCGGCAGCTATAAATATTAGCGTTGATGTAAACACAAAGATGAAGTCACCGCAATATTTATGTTATTATTGATCTGGAAATGCCATCAGTACTGGAGTCCCTCTCTCCTTCTCTCCTAAAACAATCTGCCTCGTCTCTGTTCACCTCAGATTTCGTGGCCGGCGTTCCAAAAGGCCTCAAGCTTCGGGGTTTGGTAAGAAAGCTTAATCATCCTAGTTCTGGCTTTGGTTTTTGATCACCTGAGAATGCGAGAGCTGGGCTGTAGACTTGGAACTGATACAGGAAAGAAAAAAACCAGAACGAGAAGAGAGCGATACGGCCCCGGTGGGAGTTACAGCATTTCTGCAGCGAATTCCACGCCGAAGACTGTGTTTACATTAGAATCTATAAAAAGAGGTGTAACCACATGTGACTGCTGTGCTGCAGGTGTCCATACTGAACGGTACAGACCTGAAGATCATGATAAACTTCACTGGTGAGCAGGTGAGTCGGACACAACCCCCGTCTACGTGAAGGATTTTTGAAAAGCTTCACTTTCTATGTTTTCTCTGCATTTTATATTCCCTGTGAGTTGACTGTAAATTCATTTTCTCTGCTCCACTCTTTCATAATTGATTTTGTTTGCCCGTAAAGTTTAATCACCCAGGCTGAAGTTTGGAGGCGATTTGTGTAAACAATTGTGGGAATAAAAAAAGCACCGAGCTTGTCAAACAAGTCGGCGAAATCAATCTTATTTCAAGGGAATTTGTTGCAATTCAAACAGCGTCGACAATGTTCATGCTTTTCACTGTGTGTTTCATGGGTTAATGCTGGAATAAACGCAGCCCCCCCTCCCCCCAACTAGACCCCGACCTGTAAAACCCATCAAGCCTTTACGTTTCCTTTAAGCATTACTGTAATCCTGGTAATGCAGAAAGCATGATAGTGAAAATATGATTATATGAAAGTAAGATTTCATGTATTTAATGAAAAACAAAACTGTTTTACTCATAGATGGGATCATATTTCGGCTACGCAGTGGCGACTGCTGACATCAACAGCGACGGGTGAGTGTCGACTGCCTCTCAGCTGTCTCTGATCCACTCTGCCGTGTTTGTGCGTCTCATATCTGCCTTCTGTCGTCACAGCCTGACTGACGTGCTGGTGGGCGCTCCCATGTTAATGGTCAAAGGCTCCGACGGCCGTCTGGCCGAGATGGGCCGGGTGTATGTTTACCTACAGCGTAGCCCCCTGAACCTGGAGCTACGGCTACCTCATTTGACCGGCAACCAGGCGTTTGGAAGATTTGGCAGCACCATTGCTCCACTGGGAGATCTGGACAAAGACGGATATAACGGTAATGTTTTGATTTAAACCCACTGTCCTACATCTTTGGTCCAGGTCTGTCTGCTTCTGATAATCTTGGTAAGATTTTGTAGGTGTAGGACGTCATTTTATGAGATTCTTAGTTACATAGTAACAGCAAAAAAAATAATAATCTTACCATCTTGCTCTTTTACTGACACTATTGTAGCCAACATTAACCCAAATGTTCGTGAAAATAACAATCTTACCATCTTGCTCTTTTACCGACACTACTGTAGCCAACATTAACCCAAATGTTCGTCATCTTACATTAGCTCCACCTACAGGGTTGGAGTGTGTGTTGCAGCGTCACTGTTGTCCCACCAACAAGGGAACTGAAAAACCTGCAATTAAATGTATTTTTCCTAACGAATTAATCATGTACTGTAAATATGTGGTGTAACAGTGTGATGAAGAACTGTACTCTTTTTTTTCCCACAGATGTGGCCATCAGCTGTCCATTTGGAGGAGACGACCGTCAGGGGCTGGTCTACATCTACAATGGTTTCTCAGATGGACTCAGGGATAAACCATCTCAGGTGATCGTCGGTCAGTGGGCTTCTGGGACCATACCGCCCAGTTTTGGGTTTTCACTCAGAGGTGCCGAGGACCTGGACATGAACGGATACCCAGGTGATTGAAGACAGATGTCTCTACTGTATACGATTATCATCATTTTGGTAGAGTTTATATATGAACTAAACTCTGGTTCTTTTTTTAAACAGATCTCATCGTTGGTGCCTTTGGTGCCGATAAAGCCGTTCTCTACAGGTATGTTTGTTATGTTATTTTAATAAATACACTTGTTGAACCTTGTTGAGTATACTTTTCAGTATATGTGTATGTAACATGGTACTTGTAGGAACATTATTCGTATTTTGGACCACAATTCCCAGCTTGAAGCCAGTGTCTGTTGCTAGGCAATCAAGTTTAGTTTTGGCAACATATGGTTCCAAAAGAAAAAACAAAAAAGAAGAAAATTCTGAAAAGAAACCAAACAGTATGTTGGCAATACTTGTAGTAATGTGTCTGAAAAAAAAGAATAAAACCCCTGATATATTTAGAACAGTTTGCAGAGTGAAACCACTGAATGATCTATGTTGTATTTTTGGCAATGGTGATCATATCTGTTTGAATCTATTAGCATTAGCATTAGCACCGTCTTGGCAGTGATTTGTCTATATTTCACTGCAGACTGTGACAAATAAACAGTTGTATCCATATTTTGAATGAAATGTATTTTTCTGAGAACATTAAACATTAAAGTCGTTTTCTTACAAGTGAACTTAGGTGAACAATTTAAGAAGCCCTGTTCTCGTAACGGACCACTGATGGCTCCGCCTTCTCTAAAGTACTGTGGTTCTCTGGTCTTTATTGTCTGGGTCCAAGTCAGAGTCGGAGTTGCCAAGTCGAAAGTTCAAGCACAATTCAAGTTGAGTCCTCGGGGTTTGGGAGCAGAGTTGAAGCAACAGTAGAATCTAATTTGAAGTCAGCGTTTAACTCCCCGGGTTCTGAGTCAGAGTCCAAGTCACTTAAAGCATTTAGGTGGAATCTCCAGGGTCGTGTGTTTGAATCATTAGTAGCCTGTTTGGATTGAAGCAACAAATCCTGGACTTTAGAGCTTCTCCAAAGGGGTGTCCCACCTCATCAGGCTCGACTCTTACTACAGGAATCAAGGCCAATCCCAGCAGTCACCGGGTGATGGTGGGAAAACCCCACAGCCAGGACAGGAATAATAGATACAAATGTTTGAAAAGTAAACACATAACACTAATATATAGCAAATATAGATGTGAAGTATGTGGTTTACCACAGTACTGAGTGTCTGACACATATAAACATCTGACCTCAGTAGGTAACAATCCTCTCTGGTTTTTTACATTTAATTTTATTCTGAGGGTAAAATCGAATAATTACAGTCAGTTAATTTGGTTTATTCTGACGTATTAACAATTCTATTTATTATGTCTTTATTATGGCTGTCCAACAATAGTCATATTTATTATGTCTTTATTATGGCTGTCAGAGGATGAACTTTTTAAAACCGATTAATCACACAGTGTCTATCAATTAATCATGATTAATCATGAGTCATTGAGATTAATCAACATTAAAAAAATGACAAAAAAAAAAGTTTTTTGTCTGAATATTACTGGGAAAGAAACACAAATGTGACTGTATGTTGTTATTTGTGACGAATCCAGATGAAAACTCCTGACGTCGATAAAAGCAGGTGACTGTATGTTGTTATTTGTAATGAATCCAGATGAAAACTCCTGACGTCGATTCTTCTTCATTGTCCACAGATCCCGTCCGATAGTCAACACCACTGCCTCTCTGACGGTTTACCCAACCATGATCAACCCCGAGGAGAGGAACTGCATGGTCCCCAGTGGCAACGCCAGCATTCCTGTTTCCTGGTGAGCGGTCAGCTTAAATGCAAACGGTCGTTTGGTTTCATGTGACACCAGTTCAGTGCTTGCTCTGTTGGTTATCACTTTATCTAAAACCAAAAAAAAAAAAAAAAGTTGCTTCACCATTTCCCCCCATAAATAAACACAGCCCTGGCAGGAAACCCTGATAAGGAATATCCTCAGCATCAGCAGTCACGGTGTCATCTGTCCTGTGAACTCTTCTTATCTGACCTCATTTTAAAACAGTACGTTGTGGTGTTTCTGTTGAAAAGGCAGAGAGTTAGCGCGTTGAATAGCAGCATTGTCAGCTTTTTTTTTCAGTTTTTTTTCAATTTTTATTGACCTCTTCCGAATGGATGCTTGCAGGATTCGGTTCCAGGAGAGGGAAGAGGAAACAGGCGACGGTGTGTCTGTTTTCCCCACTTCTCCCCAGGTCTGAGTCCATAAAGGAAACTCTTGTATACACGTGTCTTGATTATGCGTTGCCTGGTGATGAGGAGTAGTTTTTGCGGGGTGAAAGGAGAGCAGCAGGGATAATGTGAGGGAGTGAGGGTGAGGAGGGGCTGAAAGTTTTCTTTTTTTTTTTTTTTGCAGTTGCTTTGAATGAGATATTGTTTGGTGGTTGAACACAGCTGGGAAACATCAGGACACGTAGACTGTGTGAGCGTGTGCACACAGCTGTGCAGAAACAGGGAGACCTAAGAGTACACGAAGTTTTTACTACTACTATTTGAAAGCTGTCCTTCTGTTCACTGTGTCTTTCTGTATCATTATTCACTTTTCTTCCCCCTTTTTTTTACCTAGTATTTCCACTCCACTCCTGCTGTTATTCTCACTTTTTACTGCTGCACCTTTTTTTTTTTTTTTGCTCTGTGTCTTCTGGGTCTGTACTAGTCTTTTGGGGTTACAGGAGTTTGGACAGTGTTGCGTTGGTGATGTCATGGGAGACGGCTACAGGCCCAGATGGACAGCCGTGGACTGTCCAACAGTTAAACCCCAGTCAATGTCCAATTTCACCCGTCTTAACTCTGCTGTTCCTGTTGGACGTGGGGATGGAGCAGTGGGTGGAAATGGAGACGGGACTGTTTATCAGCCCGGCTGGTGAAGGCAGTCAGATGCCAGTACATCTTTAAGCACTTGGCATTTTTTTGTTTGCATATTATCCGTTGCATTCCCATTACACCCCATGTCTTGAAATGCGAACCATGTGCGGATCGTACTGTAGGACTGTGGGGCGTGAGGGGAAAGTGAGCGACATGTGAAGGCTCTTCTCTGAACAACATAACAATAAACTTCTGTTTTTTTTCTCCTTCAGCGTCAACCTGAGTTTTTGCATATTTGCAGATGGGAAGCACCTACAGGACGTTCTAGGTGAGCCATCGCTTCCACAATTGAAGCTGAAAACAATCAGATAAATATTGAAAAAAAATGACGATATAATATAACATGGAAATATTTGAAAAAAAAAAAAAAAGAAAAGCTAAATAAGTTCTGTATTACACTCCATCCATATCTGTAATTATTATTTACCCCTCTGTGTGGAAAAGTTCCTTGTGCATTGTTTTGCGGTACAGTGACTACATTGAGAGTGTGTAGTGTGCTGTATTTATGGAGCCGTCACAGTGCGAGCCAGCAGCATTCATCACTCCATGAATGCTCATTTGTCTGTGCCTTATGTGTTCCAGACTTCCAGGTAGAAGTGCAGCTCGACAGTCACAAGCACAAGCAGAAAGGTGCTGTGAGGAGGGCTCTGTTCTTGGATTCCCAGCAGCCTTTGCTCCAGGGCAGGGTGAAGGTTCGCCATGGCGAGCGCGTGTGCAACCACACAAAGATCTTCCTGAGGGTATGGCTACCAGCTCTGGCCAATAATAGCTCTTTTGTGACTTTGTGTGTGTCGTTGTACAGTATGTAGTGCAGGCTGTTCTTGAGCCTCGTGTTGTGAGAAAATTGGTGGGACGTGACCTCCTCTGGGGGGCGCCAGAGTGGATAAGAGGAGGCCAAAACTTGTGGAAAAAATTGTTTAAAATAGCTGATGTCTGTCAGGATGAATGGATGGGTATGTTGGGAGTACATGTGTAGTACAAGTACATGGGAGAAGAGTGACTTCAGTATTACTGAAAAACAGACGTATGACAACAATTACTTAAAGGTTTGATTTTCATAGACTGGCGTTGGACATCGATTTTTGTCTTCTTTTCATTGAGAAATTTAAATTTAATTTTTCCAAATTAAAAACGTAAAAAGATTTAAACTTAAAATGTGAATACATAACTCTTTGTGTTGGTGTGTTTATCTGAAAAAGAAATTATCTGAGAGGAGCACAAAATAAATGTTGTCCCTGGAGCTGTTATTAGCTATTATGAAATTAAATAGCATAAAAGTAAACCAATAACTATACTAAAATATTTATGCTCTGATATGCAGATTAAGAAATTCTAATTCTTTTTTTGGTTCTTGGTCTGCAGGACGAGAAGGAATTCCGAGACAAACTCTCCTCCATTTTTGTGGCCTTTAACTACAGCCTGGACCCAGAGGCGGCGGCCGACAGGCACGGCCTACGACCCGTCCTCAACTACCAGACTGCCACGCTGATAGAGCAAAAAGTAAGTGGGTGTTTGTTACACGTCTGTTTCTGTTTGTGGAGCGTGGATACAACAGAACAAAACCTCCATCAGTAACCTGCGGTGCAGTGATTTAATAACGTACATGTGGTTCTGAGCGAGAGAGACTCGTGTTCTGTGAGCTGATGATAAGTACATCCGCCACATCCACTAATCACTGCTCATATCACTGGCCATCTATTCACCGGCTGTGCGCTGTCCCTGATGAAAGAGCCAGGCTGTTCTTTCTAATCTACATCCTAAACTGTTCTGCTGGGAATAAGTCCAGAGTGTCTGGAAAGCTGTTTGCGAAATGAAAAAAAAAAACAAGGCACATGTAGAGGGAAGTGTTTCCCTGTACTCGCAGAATTAGCTGTGGGTAAGTCAAGCACACACAAGGTGAGTCTTTCCAGAACCTTCAGTTTGATCCGTATTCCAGGGAGGGGTGCAGCTGGGAGTCGTGCTCATCTGCTTGAAATATTCCGGTATTTCACCGTTTTTTTTTCCTTCTGGCAGCGAGTGGAGCTAGCTCAACATGTGGGCATCCTTTCAGCTGTGGCACAGCACGCAGCCGTGCGCCATGTGTGAGTTGCTCATGGGGCTGACAGCATTTAGGGAATAGCAATCACCGACTCCCTCCCTCCCTCTGTTCTCCCTCTCTGCTGGTCTGCTTCTATCTTATTCCTTTTGGATCAGGACTAAACCCTGTCATTGATGCCCTTCCCTGGATATCAAAGCTGTGGGGCCTCCAACAGATGTGGTCTGTTGCTGAACCATAGACCTTGAGATGAGCACGAGCTAAAATATCAACTTTGAATATGAAGGCCGCCTGTGTGTGTGTGTTTGTGTGTGTGTGTATAAAACATAAGTGGGAGAAATGTCAGGCTGCCAACACGTTCCATTAATCTTTATTTCAGCCTGTGCGAATGCTGCAGCAGATAAACAGCAGAGGCTGACTGTCACATCACAGGCGAGGCTTTGATCAGACACTCGACGCGTTGTTGATGTGTGCGTACGCTCCCAGAGTATGCGGTGGGCCATGTAGAATTTCATTGTCTCCGCCAAACTCGTACTCTTTTCAAGCTGCTGCGAAAAATGAGATGGAGTTAATGTTCCCGACAGAGTCTCATTTTCTTCCGAGCTAATACCTCCCATATGTTTCGCTGAGGAGTTATGGCATCGTGATGGATTATTAATTGCAAGCGATTCTCAGATCCAGTATGAAAGATACAGTCGTGTGGAGTCAGTAATGATCCGCGTTGATATCGTGGCTGAAAATGGCATTAATCATCCAATTGTTCCTGAAATAATACCATGTGGGTGAAAGAAGTGTTGCTTTGATGAATGGACGCCACACCCTGCACTTGAACTCCACATCTCACTGCACCGTGTTTGCCCTCATTTTGTAGCAAGGAATAATACCGTCGTCTAACAACTGCGATGTGCCCGCCTGTGTTGTTTTCTTGCCTCGTGTACACACACACACACACACACACCAGCATGCGCTCTTTTGGCCATGTTAGCACGGCGGTTTCCCCACTGTCCATAATTAGAGCCTCTGGATGGTGTAATGACAGGGGGGGCCACTTGTCTCCGCCTTTAATCTCCTTCTTCAATTCTATTTATTATCCTCGTCGTCACGAGCGTCGTCACGCCGTCACACGGCGCAGCGGGATGCAATTTGGCAACCGGCGGGGGCCACAGCTCTGCCACACGTCCAGCGGTCGTCCACTTATCCAGCAGTGTTGCTGCTGCTCAGCCTCCGCTGTCATCTGTCAACCTCTGCCGCTGGTTTTCGGGTCAACAGAGGTATCCTGTGTCTCAGAGAGTTCCTCCAGGACGCCGGGCTTCACCGCTTCCATATGATTTCGAGGCCTCTGTGGTCAGCTGGGTGGTGGAGTGTGTGGTGAACGTGCGGTTTACCATATGGAGCTGTGATGTGGAGACAGGGTGAGAGCTGGCAGCTGGTGCCGCGGCGCTGCAGGAGCACTTCTCCGAGCGCGGCCGCCGCTCATCGCTGCAAAGTGTGGCTGGTAGTTACTGACTCCAGGCCAGTTCTAGCTGTGCTACTGGTCGTGTTGAAGAGTGTAGTCACTGATACCTGGTCCTTAGATACCTGGTCCAAACCCTCCTCAAAACCTTACTGAACTTTATCACTGACCAAAGCCAGAAAACCTACAGATCAGAGCAGATCAGTTTCCTCTCTGCCCCCTGGCTAAAGCTCAGTGCACCCTGGGGGGGATCTGCCCCCCAGTTTGAGCACCACTGGTTTAAAGAAAGAATAATAATGGAAATGTACATTCAGGTTAAGGTTAATGTTAAGTGCTAAATGGCTATGATTAGGGTAGAGAGAAAGGTCGAGTGAGGTCACGAATTTATGTAAATAGAACAGCTCTGTGTGAGTGCAGGAATGTACTTGTGTTTGTGTGTGTTTGTGTTTGTGTGTGTGTGTGTGTGAGGGACAGCTGGACAGAGGAGTGTCTGTGCCTGACATGACCTCACATACTGTCCCGGGTCTCTGGGGTTTTAACTCTGTTTCGTAGCTGTCTGATGATGTGTGTAATAAAATCAAGGCCTCTGCGCTGCAGGTGTCAGTGGTGGGTGGTTATCAAGAGGCTGAGATGGAACGAATTAGTCACAGCACGTGTCGCGTCTTGCTGAACTCATCCTGTTGTCACCTAGAAACAGACTTCAGATTTATCTTGTGTGTTTGATTATCTTCATGTGTCAGGGACACACATGACACTTTCTCTTTGATCATCACAAATTTGGAATCCAATCGCAGGCCGTATCGGACAGTTTGGCGGGCCAGATTTGGCTCGCAGGCCACCAGTTGATAATCACAGATCTATAGGTTATAAAATTGTGTGATGGTTTGGGGACAATGTTGAAAGTCTCTGTGTAAAAGGTAGAAATAGGCGTGTGACCTTTGTGCCCTTTATCAGTACAAACAGCTGGTTCCTAAGTGTGTCTTCAGAGACCTAGAGCAGTGGTCTGCAAACGGTGGCTCTTGGGCCACATTTGGCTCCACTCTACCATGATATAAAATAATATGGAAAAAAAAGAATCCAAATCTTTCAAAGAGAGACATGATCATGACTAATGACAATGGTTTGCAGAGTCATGATCATGATCATGACTAATGACAATGGTTTGTGGAATTGTTTTTTGTTTTTTTACACAGTTTTTTTGCTGCTCCTTCAACTTTTTACTCTCCCAAAAATCATCATTCACTTTCTTTCTTTCAGGCCCAGATCCTGTTGGACTGCGGAGAGGATAATGTCTGTGTTCCTGATTTGAAGCTGGCTGTTCACGGGTAAGTTTGATCGCCTCCTAACGCACCGTACTCCACGCCATACGATAACAATGCCATGGAAAACAAGTCACACAGGCAGTGAACTCTTCACCTCCTCCATGCGTGCGCAGGCATGGACGTGAGCGATAAAGCAGAACTGCAGCTGTTTTTGTTGTTCTCCGTGGCCAGGATGTTGCAGCCGTGTGTCGTTGAACACTGCGCCCCCCCTCTGCCCCCCCCCCCCCCTGCAAACACAGGGCAGCACTGCAGTTCTGCTCCACGGTGAAGAGTTGAAGGACAAAGCATAAAAGATGTAAATTACAAAATGAATGATAGTAAAGAATGTCAAAAGTGTGCCCGGCCTCTCCGGCTTCTGAAGCCGTCGAGAACACTCCTCCTGCCAAACTTTGATTTAAGGAATCTGTTAGCGCTTTCCTCAAAAATAACAACCTCCCCCACAATCTCTTCCCTGCCTTGTCATTTTGATTTTACATTCCTATATTTATCTACCATCTGCCTTGATTCTTTCTTACTAATACATGGTGAATCCATCACATGGAGAAGAAGCTGCTGGGAGTGTGTTTTCACAGCCCCCCACCCTTCACCCCCCGTTCACCTACGTCCAGTTCTATAGTTAATCGTCATTGTTTTATAAAAATACCACATAGTGATCTGGTACAAATCATTCGACAAACAGTAGGAATGTACACACATATACATACATATATTAAAATAGACCACATCTGGAGCGGTCAGATGATCAATATTAATCTGATAAATCACAATCAGGTCTATTTTTCATAATTAATCATTTTGATTAATTGAGCTTAATCAACATTAAAAAAAAAATCACCCAATGACTTTTTTTCTGTATGTTACTGGAACAGAAAGACAAATAACAGCAGGTAGATGTTTGTGTTTCACACCTGTTTTTATTTGTGACTGATTGAAAAATATAATTATAAATATATAATGGAATTATTAATATGGAAAAGTGCGAAGAAAAATATGCAAAGCTACAGCCTGACATTTAGCAGTGTTTCTCTGGACAGACATCTTGGGGGTGAGAGGGGGACACTCGGATAAATTTAAATATAAATCACATTGTCTCACATTATTATTCCATATCTATTTTGGAAACCAGTTGCGAGGCCAAATTGGACGCTTCGGCTGGCTGGGTTCGAGCGGCGAGCCGCCAGTTGATGATCACGGTGGGGGTGTTGAACGTGTGAAGAGTGGGAGAGAGAGAGAGAGAGAAAAGAAGAGAGGGAAAGGGAGGTCTGGTTTTCACCTGTTTACAAAAGCTAAAGAAAGAGAGAAGAGTGTTCATTAGCAGAACTACAGTAACTGTCCAATATTTGTAGCAAAACATTAAATCTAACAGTAGCTCCGTTGGCTCATGTGATGAAAATAATAAAGTGAAGTTTCAGCCGGAAGGACTTTAATACTTTAACACGGCTGCAGTGTTGTTTCTTCTCTTCAACAGCCAACGCACATAACCTCCAAGACCAAAGGCTCCCCTCAGGGAACCTTCAAGGTTTTTTTTTTTAAGCCAACATCAGTTCAGGTCTTCCCGACTAAGGTAGACCGTCGGAGGATCAACCTCACAAATCATCTCCCGCTCACTCTCCAGCTTTGCTTTATGAGAGGGGGCCGTAATTAGAAGCGTCTGTGTGGCCAACCATATGGTTTTTTTCATTGTTCTGAACCGTGCTGGGAGTGAGAGAGAGCAAGAAAAAAGGGGGAGGCGTAGTACAGCAGTGTGTGCTGTTGAACAGCGTGTACGACTTTATTACCACATCGGAAAAAGTTTGAATTGAATTAAGGAGCTTTGTGAGAAGAATCCATGAGGTGATTTTTTTTTTTTTTTAAAGCTCAGCTATAAACAAAAAGGCCAACGTACTTGTTTAAATAAAAAACAGCTTCTCGTCCAATCGGTTTCCAGTAAGAACAAACAGAGAAAGAAATTGTTGACACAAAAAAAGCATTTAAACCAGGGCTGTGACATTCACACGATCGTTTCAGTTAATGAGTTAAGTAAACGTGGTTAATTGTACCAAACACTGTTAACGCAGACACACCCTGCAGCCCACTAGGTGGTAGTAATGTACAGTGACAATGTCAACGCAAAAGAAGGTTTGCTGAGAAGTAATTATACTTCAGCCACTTATGTGAAAATAAAAGTTTTGTGGTTTAAAATATTGCTCTTTGAATCTTAAATCGTTTATTCTTGAGTTTTTTTAAGCTTGAATCATAATGCAAAAAAAAAAAAAAAGATCGCCTCCCACATCCAAACATCTGCATGTCTTTGTCTACTTTTCCATTTAATCTGATTGGTGACCTCTAATGACCTCCTCTGGTTTGGTCCTCAGCGACAGGAAGGAAGTCTACCTGGGTGACGACAACTCGTTGACACTAACCTTTAACGCCAGAAACGAGGGTGAGGGAGGGGCGTACGAAGCAGAGCTGCACGTGGTGCTGCCCCCTGAAGCTGATTACAGCGGCATTGCTCGTAATAATGAGGTGAGTAAAACTGCAAACAGATTGAAAAACTTACAACTTCCCCCCGGCTCGTATGTATCACGGGACTCATATTTGAGTGTTTTTCCTAATTATTGCCCAGTGCTGTGTTTGACTCATTCCTCCCTTCGGTTTTCCAGAGCTTGACACAGCTGACCTGCAGCTATGAGACGGAGAACCAGACTCGATACCTCAGCTGTGACTTGGGAAACCCAATGAAGTCTGGCACCAGTGTAAGAATATTGTTTTCTGACCAAATAAGGCTTGAGCAGATGGGATAAAAAAAAATAAAAATGAAATACCACCAGCATCCTGTAGGGTGTGAACAAGACAGGAAACTTTCCATCTGTACCTCAGGTTCCCGTCCTGTGCCGCCCTTTTTAATGACGGAGTGAGAAGCTGGCACAGTTTAACGGGTCTGTAAAGAATGTGGTGAATTAGAGAGATACAGCAAAACCCCTTTAGATTAGGCTGAAACTTCAGCCGACTCCTCAACTCCTGTTGTAAAGTTATTGATTGTAAGAGGATGAAAATGCACAGGCGGTGATGTAGTGCAGACTCCTTGGAAAAGAAACGGATCTGCAATCATCGTAGAACGCCATAAACCTCACCGAGACATTTAGTAGCCTGTTACCAACATTCGTCTGCGAGTCGTTAGGGCTGAAGGAATGGACTGAGGATTGGATTTGATGACAGCTAATGTGAACAGGACCCAGAGCCATGAACACTTTATCTACACCCAATAAAGAAGGAGAGTCAGGACCTGTGGTAGAACACCACGCAGGGCGCAGAAAGGAAATACTCTGCTCGACTGCACAGTAATAGTACTATGTAGTAATACAAGTTCCCTGGGATTTACACTCTTAGTTTGCACTTTATAAAAATCTAATTTACTGAGATTTGTTCTATTTCATTCTATTCTATAATATTCAATTCTTTTATATTCTAGTCTGTAGTGATCTATTCTATTCTGTTCTATTCTATGAGGTGTAATATCTGTTGTCGATCTGTTGCAGTTGTGGGCCGGCCTACGTTTCACCGTGCCACGGCTGAAGGACACGTACAAAACCGTCCAGTTTGAACTTCAGATTCGCAGGTACGGCCGGAAGAAAAAGCATGCTGTCGTTATTGCTGTTATTTAGAGACATCATTTTCTCTCACTCCCCTGCAGGGGGTGCTATAAATGCAGTGTCAATGCTTAATGTTCTCTAAGTACGAGTGCTAACATACCAGAACGTCGGTATAGCATTGTTTTATATAAAGCAACTGTGACGATACAGCAAGTCCAGGTACTGTACCGTAGTAACGAGCTAGTACTGGTATTGGAGCCGTACACCTCCAAAAAAGATGTGAAAACCACATATGTGATAGCGTTAACAGTGGCTTGTTCCACCAGAAATTCCCCCTGATAACATGGGGAAACAATGGGTTAATTTTTTTTTACGAATCCTTTGTTTATTTTTACACAGAGGTTCCTTCAAACTTTAATAGAATTCTGGTGGATGGTGATTCGTCACGGCTGACCTGAACTGTTGGTGAGTGATGTTAGCAAATCAGAACTGATTTCCTCTTCTCTTTGTTTCCACAGCAAAAATGAGAATAACTCCCACAGTGAGGTTGTGCCCTACAGGCTGGAGGTGGTCGTCCAGGCTGATGTCATCCTGCAGGGGTGAGCTGAGGTTTAGGATTTCCTCAGATGAACTCTGGGAACTCTGAAAAGTCCTAAACACGGCCTCGTACTGTACATGTTTTCACATCTCCATTTCACTTCTCCAGGGTGTCTCGACCAGATAAGGTTTTCTTTCCGCCTGCCAACTGGAAAGTGACCAAAAACTACGAAGTGGAGCAGGACGTCGGGCCTGCAGTGGAACACGTCTATGAGGTAACCGTCCGTAACCGTGGAGACTCTCTGGGTCTCAGAACGTCCTGAAAGCGACGGAGGAGGAAAACTTTCAACTGTCTGTGTTCGTTTTTCCAGTTGGTGAAAACGGAGGAGGAGGAAAACTTTCAACCGTCTGTGTTCGTTTTTCCAGTTGGTGAACAACGGACCCAGCAGGATCAGCCACACCCTGCTGGAGCTGCGCTGCCCCTTCAGTGTCCAGGACCTGACCATCCTCTACCCTCTGGAGTTCTCCACAGAAGGACTGATTAACTGTACCTCTGACAAGTACATGAACCACCTACACCTCAAGGTGAATACCATTCAGATAACCACAAATGCTCTCTCTTCAGGGCATAAATAAAGTGAAAAGATCCAACCTCCCCTCTGTCAGACATGGGAGTAGGAGTCACTGCTGGACCAACACCCTCGTCTTCCTCCTAGTCCTCCTCCCTGTTTCTTTAAGGCCCCACCCATGACACTCACCCTACCACTGCTTTGATGTTCCAGCTCTCCTCCAGACTGGGCGCAGCTTGATAAACACACTCTCTGATCTTCAGTACCCATGGATGTGCCCCCCCCCACACCTCCCCCGTACCAAGTTAGGGTGTTTGACTGTTGTGGGCATGGTATCAACTGCAGTTGTTTGTGTTTATTTATTGTGTTGATTTGAGGCGAGACAGATGTTTCGAGGGTGCGGTGAAGTGGTCATCTATCTTAGCTAATGTTTCTCCTCCCCTGGTGAATTGCTAAGTACGGCGTATTTCCACGGGAATCCATGAGCAGTAGGACTCACATGCTTCTGATTAATGAGGGAAAGCCTCGGGGTCACGCTAACATTAAGTCCTGTATTGACAGAGAGCTCGGTGTGCTGCTCTGGTTAGTGAGGTCAGTTTGTTCCTCGTTCCTAATGGCTCTAATGTTTATGTGTTTTTAAATCTTTCTTTTTGCCTTCAGCTCCAGCGCACTTCGACAGAACCACCAATTCTGGCTCTGAAGGCCCAGGAGCACCCCCTGGTGAGGACAGACGTTCACAAGAGTCAGCTGGCTCAGCTGACCAACCTGGTGAGAAACTATGGCGACCCCTGTAGCCAACACTGATTAAGGAAGAATCTGGATGTGATTCCTTGTACTTTATATATATATATATATATATTATCAATGTCAGGGTCTTTGGCATGGAAATCATTGAAACTCCTGTGTTGCCCAATTAAGTGTAATGCAATTGTTGACATAAAAGTGAGTGAATAGAAATCTCCCTTAGTAACAGAAGGTTTTCAGGTTGATCTGGTTTGGTTTGCAAGTGATTGGAAAACCCAAATAAAAAGCATTAGGGTTTCGTGAAAATGACCTTTTTTCATGACATTGCCACCCCTTCGTACACGAGGCCCCTGGGAATGGGTAATTAAGTTATGATGTCATTGAAAGGAAGGGGTCAAAGGCTATAGGGTAGTCGCTTTGTGGGGATTAACTTAAAAGACCCTTAAGTAGTGGTGGATGGGCGGGCAGCCTCAGAAGCCGTTGGACACGGGTGACTTTTTTTGTCAGTGATGCATTGCTAACTCCACAGACCGCTGTCTTGGTGCTAGCCCTGGGTGTCGTGACACACACTGGGTCTATTGATTGGTCCACCTGCATGAGGCTGCTCCCTCTGCCTCTGTCTTTGTATTACCTGCTCCACCAATGAAGCCTTTGTCCGTCGGCCTGTCGCTCCAGACCGTCCTCGTTCATCAACCGCGTCCACTGACACATTTGGATGAAGGACTCTGTTCTTTGGATTTCTCCACGTCTGAGATTTACTGTCACTGGGAAACGACATCACTAATGAAAGAATAAATATAGCAGATGAGATTTGAATTTGCAGTTACCTAGCCTGTGTTTTAAAGTACACAAAGACCAAAACGGTTGAAGGTGATGGTGGATGTCGGTTGCTTATAGGTGATGTTTAAAAAGAAATCATTTTGGAAAAATACAGTCTGAAAATGACAATCATGGTATTTTAGTGTCACTCAAATGTTTTTTCCTACTTCATGGCTTAAGCTTTGACTGGAACTGGTAATTAATTTGTTCAGACATAATAATTACTTAAATTACATTCTTTTGGTTCGTTTCCCGCTGCCAGTCACCAATGGTAACTGATGTAGGTCTTTGGGGTGGAGCAGCTGTGAACTATATTTTATAAGACCAAACTCCATGACCCCTTATTCGTAAGTCCCACCTTCCAAAAATCCATCCATCTCTCTATCGCCACCTACAGTTCATTGCTATAGGTCAGGATAGGAACGCAGCTACAGCTTTGCCATTAGGTTCAGTTCTATCTTCACGACAACAGAGCGATGAAAAGTCTCAAACTCAAACTAATGTAGCGGTTAGCACGCACAGAGCACAGGGTCCTGGGTTCGATTCCCAGAGGAACCGCGTGCTTGGCGCCTGCTGGGTGCAGCCTGTTAACAGCTTATCTTTATTATTATTATTAATTATATGCTGCCCCCATCTGGCTGCCATTGTCCTGCTCCATCCTTCCAGAATTCATGAACAAAAACCTCCAGGGTTTCCTCTAGGATTCGAACGTTTCCTTTGCGAGCTGAAGATAACGTTCAGATGAAGCATAAACAAAACCACATCATTGGCGAAAAAGCAGACACCAAATCATGAGGTCATGAAAACCCGTTGATGGCCTGGGTTCTTCCAGCAGGGAGATGATATGGGACATGAAGTATTTGTCACTGGACTGTGTTCATGTCATTTCCTCAGACCTTTGTAGCCGCTCTGCTCTGGGACATTAGTCTGTGGTCCACCAGGAAGGACTGGACTGAAATGCTCCCTGTCTGTCTGAGTGGCCTCATTAAGTCCATCTGAGCCTGAAGGCATGAGGAGGGTGCTGTCCTCCTCCTCCTCCTCCTCCTCTTCCTCCTCCTCTTCCTCTCTTCTCCTCCTGTGTTTGACAAACTTGGTGTAATAAGTAAACTAATCCAATCCTGCAGGAAACCCGCCGAAGCCCCGTAGACTGGGGGTGGTCTGCATACAGCCCCAGCTAAACACACACACACACACACATATAGTCGAGTACATTATGTGAAAGCTGTAAATGTTATACTTAGCTATCTGCATTATGAGGACCTAATTAAAATGCTGTTCCTACAGCGGTGAGGAAAAAGGGCTGGTATTAGTGGTCGGACAACGATGTGGAGAGCGGTGCGCGCCGCATTTTTACAGTCTCATGACATTCCTTCAATCTAATTTGAAGCAGGCGTGGAATAGGGATCATTGGTCTCTTTGTTATATTTATTTGACCTTCAGCATTAACAGGCCTGTTATTTGTTTTTCCGCTCTGTGCCGAGGCGGGTTTTTTTCCCGCCCTTGTTTCACGTTAAACTCTCACTCGCTGTCAGGTTTGTTGTTTTTTTTCACTCCCTTTTAATTATGAACAACTGTTTCTAGCAGCGTTATGCGGTGTAATGGTGGTTAGTGTGCTTGCCTTACAATGAGAAGGTCATCGATTTGAATCCCAGGGGATAACTGAAGTCTACCTGCTGATTGGTGTTAGGGTTAATTTGATGCTGAAGTTGACAATATATCAGATGTGTTTGGTTGTTTGTGTGTATATTATTACAGGTTAACTGCTGTAATTAATTTAAGAAATTAATCAGATTACAATTATTAACTCTCCACGTGCACTCTGGGTCCAAATATTTCAACAACAACATTTTTCATTGTTTAAAACACAGTTGATTCACACAGTTGACTGGTGCTGCAGAGACACGGTTGTAGTTTCACCAACGCACCACAAGGTCACGATACCGTCTCAACATTCGGTTGGCTTCAACATCAGCTCCGACGAACGGCAAATTTAAAGTAGAGAAAAGTTGTTCTTTGTCAAATGAAGGAATGTTTATCTGTCTCAATTAATCATGATTAATCGTGATAAATTGTGATTCATTTTTTCATCATATGGCAGCTCTGCTCAGTGTATCTTAAACCTGATAATTGTTAATAATGATTAATCACTGAAAGATCAACCACTGAACAATTGTGTCTAGTATTTAAGTAACGCAGTACTTTTTTTTTTCGTGTTTTCCTGCAGTCCTGCTCTAACGTGGAGTGCTGGACGCTCCAGTGCCAAGTCGGACTTCTGGAGCGGGGGACCACGGCGATCCTCAAAGTACGGTCCCGCGTCTGGGCTGAAACCTTCACTGAGGTGAGTGAACAGACCCGAGGTTTTTTCTGCTTGTCGTGTGTGTGGACTAGACACCAGCCCCGGGTCTGACCCAGACTGCTGCACCGTTATTAGCCTGAACAAATGGGGTGACAGTTGTTAACTGAGCATGTAGACTGGCTGTGCAGACAGTAGTGTCTCCCACTTCACATCACTGTCTTCCCCCGACATCTGAGCTACACACACACACACACACACACACAGACATTTAAAAACCCACTACATGCTCTAACACGAGGCATATGTGTGAACGTATTGAAAAGTCATTATCTGCTCCTCACAGCTGCTCATAGGATTGGAATGCTGAGGAGAGTTTTCTCTGTGAGCGACATTTGGTCTCTGTCTGCCCTCTAGTGGATATCATACGGAATTGCATGTTTGGTTTTAGACTAGAACGGTATGGAATCAGTGTGATGGGTCACTGCTAAAGAAAACATAGAAATTGAAATATATGTATATTATATATATATATTTAATATATATTGTATAACTGTATATCTTGTATATTTAGCAAAGGTATATATAGTTATATTAACATAGAAATTAATAATTAATACATTTATACAAAACATTATTTGCATTATTAGTGTTTCTAGTTTTAATTAACTGTATATCTGGTCAATTTAGCAAAGGTATATATTCTTTATATTAACGTAGCATACAATAATTAATACAAAACATTATATGCATTATTAGTGTTTCTAGTTTTAATTCTTCTTCTTCTTCTTCTTCTTCTTCTTCTTCTTCTTCTTCTTCTTCTTCTTCTTCCAGAGACCATATAAGAACCACTTGTTGGAGTGCATGGCCAGATACAGTGTGGAGAAGACGCCCTACGCCATCTTACCAAAATATTACCCCAGTGGCCACAAAAAGGTATTTCAGTCTTTAACCATGTTGTGGATTCTGTAATTCTTCCAGTTGAAGTTAAAGCCTGGTAGATGATTAATTAAGTGATTAACTAATTCATTAATTATGCTCCTCTCCTCAGGTCGTGACCCCAGTGGTGTGGAACAAACCAGATATTGAGAACTCTGTTCCTCTGTGGATCATCATCCTGGCCATCCTGGCTGGTTTACTGCTCCTGGCTCTGCTCATCTATGTTCTATATAAGGTCAGTTCCACTCAGAACATGTTTCCTGCTGTGACTCCACACCTGATGGTCCTCTGTGGATTCCTGTTTCCTGACATATTGCCCTGTTGTTTTTTTTGACAGATTGGCTTCTTCAAGCGATCGTTACCGTACGGCACGGCCATGGAGAAGGCCCAGCTGAAACCACAGGCCGCCTCAGAGGCCTAACAGTTGACCAGAGTTACCTGAACCACGTTACCTGGCTGTAGGATTGCAACAAAAAACCCACAACGGAACCTGAAGGGTGGATCTGAAAGCAGTTGAATTAAAAAGAGAGAGAGAGAGAGAGAGAGACCACTGGAACTCCACTGTGCTGCACTAGAAGAAGACGGAGAAAAACAACACAAAGATCTTCTGTCCAAATGAATGTTTTTACTTTTATTTTATGTTGGTTAGAAGGTTGGGATTTTTTTTTTTTTTTTACCAAATATGTAATTTAGCCTCAGGGCTAAAACAAGGACGTATGATTAGGAAAGTCAGTTTAACTGCCTCGTGCGGGTGCTAAAATTACTTTAAATGTTGCTAATGTTCACTGACTCAGACAGAATATGGCGACACGTAGCTTGTGGTCTTGTTTCTGAGGCTTTGAAGGTTGATTGTCCAAAAAGTAAACACAAATTCTTTGCCAGAGAGTCAGATCAAAATCACTAACAAAAAAACAACCCTTAAATGACCCAAATCCAAGTCCTGATCTGTCTGAGGTTTTTTTCTAAATATTGCCCCCTGCTGGGCTGACGCAGCCTGCAGAATCGAACAGAAAAAGCGGGTATTAAGATACATAAACAGGTGTTTGACGAGATCGATCTCTCTCTGCCTCGAAGCGGTGGACAGCGCTGGGTGGAGTCGTTGGTTTTTGCACTCAGAGGAAATCTACTGATTTAAAGACAGCAGAGACTCACTGTTTGATCTTCCTTTGAGTTTTTTTTTGTTTTGTTTTGATTTTGACTCCTACTGATCACTTTAAAAAAAACAAAGACAAAAAAAAAGGTTTGACATTGCCGTTGCTGTTGAGTCGACTGGGATGGGGACTGGAACAACCACAGAGATGTAGCAAAATCGAGCTGTTTTCTGCTTCGGAGTATTTTAGTTTTTTTACTGTCTCTCCTCCACCTCGTCCTCAGTTCGGGTTGAGGTCACAGGCCACCAGATGATGGCGTGATTGCGCCTGACGCGAAGACAATCAGCAGTATCGTAGCTTGGACAGATCATCGTCCATTTTCTACAGTCTGTGTGTTACTGTGAGACACTGTTGTTTGTCATCCCACTACCACAAAGGCTACAGGGACTGAAAGTCTGTTGTTTTTGTTTTTTTGTTTGTTCTTTGGTCGCTCAAATGTCATGTACATAGATTTTCTGTGCCTTAAATGTAAATATGTAACGTCTGTGGATTGACTTCATGCAAACATGAACTTGTGTGAATGGTGTATTTATGAATGTTTGTTTCACGTATGGATTGATCACCCGTCCCACTGCCCCCTCTACTGGTTATCTCTTTACCAACAGGTTCTTCTGCGTCACTGTTCACGACGTCGATGCCACAAAACAGTGGATATTTAAAAGACCTTTTCAAAATAAGAGTTTAATTTTAAATCAACGTCATCCTCAGTGAAAACGACGGCCGCAGTCACTACAGCCTAAGAGCTCGGCGATGGGAACTCTGTGTTATTTGCAAGTGCAATATTTATATTCACCCTCTTTACATCACAGTGCTTTTTCTGTTTTATGGTTTGTTTTTGATGAATTTGTAGGAAAGCAGAACTTTGTGCTTTTCACTCTCACCTGTCACGAGTTCCTGTTTTAGCAGGTTTTGATTTTGTTTTGTTAGTATTTCACAGACTGACACAATAGCACCACCACCAGGTCGTTGGGTGCTCTCACAGTTTTAAGATGGATGTGTTCTGTGTCAGTTGCACCTGTCTGAACACAACTGTTATCCTGAGTTTTTTTTCCCATTATTTCACTCTTTATTCTGCCGTCTGTCAAATGTTCCAGGATAACAATGATTATTTCTGTCTGAACAGGTCGATTCATATTATTTATAAAAATGACGGAATTCTTTCACTACTTCCTAAAATGTCACACCAGGAGAAGGCACTGGGTTTGTTTTTTATTTTTATTGTTTTTTAATTTCTTCTCCTTAGGCCTCTCCAGGACTTTTTAAAAGACGCTGTACATATTTATGACACGGAGAGTAACAAATTCAATCGAGGACTAATTTGTGAAATTTTTCTTTCCACCCCATATTGGGGAGAACGTTTTTGTTGGGAGGGCAAGGGAGGGTTTTGGGGGGACTCAGTTTTTATCTGTTATGGTTTGTACTTTAAATAAAAAATATTTCTCTTTGTAAAAAAAAATCACTGTGCTTTTATGGAATACACATAACTGAGAAAATAATTTATTTATAAAATGACAAGTTATGAATTTACATAATGACATCATTTGCACAAAAAAGTGACAATATTAGTGCACAAACACCTGACCTAAGGTGATTTTTGACAGCAGAGATTTTGGAGTGTTGTGTGGAGGACGTTTGACTCCTGCACAAGTCCACTACACCATTGATGTCCGTGCTTCTGAAGTTTCCTTGGCGGTCGACATTGCTCGTGTCCACTAGATGGAGATAAAGGTGCAAATTCGATATATAAAAAAAACCCTTCCAGCTCCTTCATACAGATGTGTGCTACACTTCCACAGTCTCTGCACATCTGAGGTCCTAACATTCCAAGAGTCTTGAGAGCTGCGTCAACTTGCGCTGGTTGTCGATCACCCTCAGGTTCTGGATGTATTGTCTGACGCTGGTGACACTCCGCAAGGGGAACACGTGGTCAGAGTCTAGACAAGAGGAATAAATCAGGTTTTATTCTTCTAATGTAATGAATAAGTGTGAGAATATGGGAATATCACAGTAAATTATGTGTCGGACGTGGCTCACATGTTGATAAACGGTTAGCAGGTCCATCCAGGAACATCCGATCTGCCAGACCTCTCTGTGGTGACGACGGCACTGGAGGAGTCACAGAAATGAACTGAGCTTTTTAATATACACACGAACAACGTCTACCAGCTGTTTGAATTATGTCAGATGTGTACAGTGTAAGCTGACAGTACTGCGTGCAGGGGCGCCGCTAGGGATTTTGGGGCCCATGAAAATAATTTTTACTGGGTCTCAAACATGGATGGTGAAAATTGTTGATGCTACATCAACAATTTTTACATAAAACAGCATTTTGTTAGTAATTCTGACTATCATTCTCATGTATGTGAAAATGAACAAGATGACAGTTGATAGATAGGGGGAGCACTCCTCTTAATGATGGGCCCCTACAATCCACCCCAGACCGTGTGTACTACATGGTAGGCTCAGCTGGGTCATTTACCATATGGCTGGCTCCTGCAACCCCGTACGATCTTCACCGTCTTGGCCATCATTCTCTTTGACAGGGAGAGGAAAAGGAACCATTTCAGCCTAATTGTACACTGATGAGCAGTCAGTGACCATGTGTGAAGTCATGCATTTTTCAAGCACATTCGTTCGTCTTACCATCTTCTCAAAATTGACCAATTTTTCCACGTAGTTTGAGTTTCCCTCGTGGATAAATGTCATGTCTGTACACAGATTGAGAAAAAAAAATGACGTAAACGTAGTACATTCACATGAAGTCAGGCCCCAAAACAGTCAGTGTATCTGTTACCTTTTAGCAGCAGAGGCATGAGGGGGATGTAGGGGGGGCTGAGTTTGGCCACAGTCAGTCTGTAGGCTCTGTGGTTACGAGAAGGATCCTTCAATAAACATAAAGACAGAGAAAATGCATTATTTAAAAAAATAAAAATAAAACTATTTGACAGAGAAAATGCATTATTTTAAAAAATAAACTATTATAGTAGATCCAGAGGTGGCTACATTTCTGAACATATTGATTTGGTCATTACATCAATTTTTTTGCAAAGGCTTGTTTCCCTCGCGAGATCTGGCAACCCACGCCGAGCTCGGACTACGCTCTCGCTCACACGCTGTGCTAACGCCCGTAGTCAGTTCGTTCCGTTTGTGTTTGACAACAAGATCGTGTTTGCTGATACTTTTATCATACACCCCAATCTTCAAAAGTCTGTTGAAGTATTTTATAAAAGTGTGAAATATCGACCTTTCTTTTTCTGTTCGCACACAAAAACCCATTAATTAACGCGAGGAAACCTATACCATTCCGCACCTGCGGGGGCAGACCTGAGACTAAGAGTGCCTTTTTGTTCTTCTACTCTCCAAGTGAGCAATGTCAGAAAGTCAGGTTCATTGTAGCGGCTCGTGTATTTGTTTGTTTATGTTTATTTGTCAGAATTCCTTAAAAATACAGGGCAATAACTCGCTTCGTTCAAACGCAGAATCACACGCGAATATTGACAACTGTAATAAAGCCATTTCGAACGGAGAGAAAATAACGAGGACTTTTAAACAAAGTAATGGAAATATTCGTGACGGGAACAGAGCGGCGTTCTTTAACGAATAAAGGTAAGAGCACTAACTTTTTTACATAAATGTGATTTTTTTTTAAAGTTTAACTTAAATAAATTGTTGTACATTATATAGTTTCAGTACAACTAAATATGTAAAAAAAAGTTAAATAGTTCTGGGCGTGTGAATTTTTTTAAGTTTAACTTAAATAAATTGTTGTACATTATATAGTTTCAGTACAACTAAATATGTAAAAAAAAGTTAAATAGTTCTGGGCACACCACTATACTTAACTATAAATACCATTAAGATTACCGTTGCTACCTGGACGTTATTCGCTCTCCTTAATTTATATTAAAACCAAACAAACTCTTCTCATTTTTCTCTGACTTTGTGCTACATTTGCTCCTTCACTGTGTCCATCACATCCTATAACTTACCATCAGTCTCTCATAAGCACAGTAAATCCTTTTCGTCTTGCTGGGTATTCTCTGTGACAGACAAACAAAACGTTATTTTAATAAATTCCGTTCAGTTTTTAATCTGTCATAAAACAACAACTCTTATTTGATTGTTGCGTTCAGGGACATCTCGTACCTCCCAGGTCTTGTAAAGTCTCTGCACTGCACTGTTGCTCAGAGCAAACATCACAGCAAAGAATGAATTAAGATTTTTCTGCTCCTTCAAGCTGAAAGAATGAGAGGATGGAGTTTGATTAATGTTTCAGGTTTGACTTAGATTTCACTCGTTAGCATTTGTTAGCTCATCTGAACAGGTTACTGTTTGTTGATGTTATGCTCACGGTGACGGTGTCAAGATTACAATAGATTAACTTGATGGATGTTCTAGGCATTTTTTTCTTCCTGTTATGACATTTCGAGGCCACAGGGTGGCGTGATGGTTAGTAACCCTGCATTACACCAATCAGATGACCCGCTGAAACCAGGCTTAATTGTTGGTTTTTCTCTATGCAGTCTAAACTGACTGATTGGTGTGGGTGTGAGTGTGAATGGTTGTTGTTTTTATATGTGACCCTGCGATGGACTGGGCTGTTGACAGCTGGAATGGGTTCCAGCTCTGGAGGATGAATGAGTGAGTGAATGGATGGAGGTTGTTTTCCCAGTGTGCACTTGGGTTTTTTCCCAGTACTTTGTATTGGACGTTAGGTTTTTTTGGACAGAGTGTGTTGTAAACCAGACTAAGAAAACACACTACAGCCCAGACTGTCAACTAGTGTGAGACAATGGTGAAGGACTGGCTAGGCCATATATGTCAAACTAGAGGCCAGTGGGCCGAATGTGGCCCGCCACCTCATTTTATGTGGCCCATCAGAGGCTAACATGCATCTGGTTGTTTTTAAAAAACAATGTTTACAAGATTGGTAAAATGCCATGGTCAGATTCTGCAAAGTTGTTGTTCGAATTCAATATTTCTGTAAATGGCATACTCAGCAACGTAGCACCCAATGTAGACTGTGTTTTAATGGCGGTTAGCCTTGGAAGCAGAGAGCACAGAGTCCTGTGTTCGATTCCCAGAAGCCTCTTCTTCTAAGTCGCTTTGGATAAAAGCTCTAAATGCGTAAATGTAATGTAATTCTCAGTCTGTTGTCGTTCTGAGATAACTTGGTCCTGGGGTGTTTAGGGTTTGTGTGTCGGTCGCTCTTACACTGCAGCGATCTTGATGAACTTCTTGAGCAGGCTCGCTCGTTTCACCACGTCCTCACAGAGGCACACCTCGGTCAACACCCAGTACTGCACCTCGTTAAAACGACGCACAAACCTTTCCAGGTTAGCTGTGGTGGCCCCGTGGAACTTTTGGCGGCCAAATATGTAGTAGACCAGCTCCACCTGTACAGAACAGACTTGGAGTCAAGGCTACGAAAACATGTGAAACATGCAGGAAGTTCATTTGTGGCCCCGGCCAGTCTGATGGCTGAGCTGCTGCTGTCAGATAACAGATGACTGTGATAACACACACACACACACACACACACACACAGACAGACAGCTGCTGTGGAGCTGAGCTCCAGACTGGCTTTAGTAGCAGTTAAATCATTGGTTTGCGTTCTTTTGTGACTGTGTAGAAACTTAAATAGTGTTTAAAATGTATCGTATGTTGCTGCATTTACTTCATGCACAGCTGTGAACAGCTCCCAGTCGTAATTTGTAAGTTCGTAGGCAAGGTCTTTAGAGCTCATCAGTTCAAGGATGTCAGCCGTCCCTCGCTCCGGACCCTGCTGCTCGACCATAGGAACCTGGGAGAGAGAGAGAGAGAGAGAGTAAGCTTCTGTTCATCAGGAGCTGCTGTAAGAGTAGATTTCCATTTCTTACCAGCTGCTCTACTTGACTGCTTGTGCAGATGAAGAGTTTTTCGTTGAGTCCCAGAGCGGTGTAGACAGCCGTAGCGTCCAGCTTCAACTGAGCTCTCTCTGTGTGCAGTCGTATAAATAAAAGAAACCCCATTAATATGACAGAAAATAAATAGAAAAACATGCTGTGAATTCCTGACATGTCCAACCTCCTGATGAGTTCATCTTGACCAGAACGTGATCTCCGACTGGTTTGACTATCGCTGACATCACATCGTGTACAGACGCGTTGACTGGCAGCATCAGGGTGAAAGGTTTGTTGTCTGGCCTGTAGATCTCGTACAGCACTGAAACGACCAGACACACACGAGTCAAAGGGTCGAGTATCGACTGCATACAGTAGAGTGAAGTGATGTAGCTGCCTGTTGCAGAACGAGGTCTGGTTTTGAAGACTTTAGATTCACCATAGATAGGATGATGTGGGTTTGGCAACCAAATAACACAGATGATTTCTTGAGATTCTACAAAGACTGAACTCTCCAATGGAATCATCAAACACACAGTGTGGAGGAATGTCGGAAACGTCCAAACAAAACTAAAGTGTCATCTAACCATGTGACGATCTTCACTAAGCTAGTTGAATTGTTATACGTGGTCTATTCAGTCTGTTCTCCAGATATACCGATTGAATTTCTATTGATATGTGAAACGACCACAGACAATTTGCTGACTTTGGTGTACTGACCTTTATCACACGTTCTGATTGGTTGTAATCTCCCCACAGGCTCTTCAACACTGGAAAACCAATCAAACGGCTGGTTCTGTCAACGACACCACAGTAACTCAGTGTCTCGGAAAGAAAATCTAAAGAAAATAGCATCAGAAACATTGACATGTTTCCATTTCTACCACCAATCACTGGAGGTCGCTCACCCTGTTCAGTGAGTGATATCCATTCTCCATCCTGTCAAGGTATCACAAGAGAAAACTGAGTGGAAGTTCAGTACATACAGCAGATGAGTTACTCTAAGGCAGGGGTGTCAAACTCCTGGCACGTGGGTCATAAAAAGGCCTGCCAACCACCCATTTGACCCCCTGCTAATTGTTTTGGTCCCTTCAATGACATGGCAGGGGCAGCAGGGGGAGCAGTGCCCCCCAGCTCATTTGAGTTTGACACCCCTGCTTTGAGGAAGAAATCTAACAAAATACTTACTTTCGTCCTCCTGCTTTCCCTAAATTGTTCTTACAGCAGGTTGAAGAGACGGGCGTCTGTCGCCACCTCCTTCTTCATCCTCTGCCCAAAACATAAGAAATGAACAAGAAATACAAACGTGAACGAACACAATTAAAATGCAGCGACAAGTCGTTCAATCCTCCCTGCAGCCTCACCTCCAAAAAGTCCAAGGCAGTCGGGTCGTCTTTCAGCAAAAGGCCATACAGCACCACCCACTGGCTGATAAACTTCACTACCTTCTGCTTGGCGTTGAGAACATAAGCAGCCTTCTCCTGGTCCGAGCCCTCGGAGAGCTGTGCCTGGTAGGTGCGGAGATGGTTAAGGTGGCAAACATTTACAGACAAAGAATCCGACCCTGTGGCGGCTGATCGCGTTTCAGCAGAACAAACTGTGTGTTGCTCAACACTGAATACTCCCTATTGTTTGTTTGCAGGCTAAATATTATCATCATCATCAGCAGCAGCAGCAGCAGAACAGGGACGGTGACAGAGGGAGTGGCTGTAACAGGGAACATCACCTCCGTTATCAGTTTTTTATTAATGATTGCAGGATATTGGTGCAGCAGAGCAGGACACAGCTGACTGGAGGGCATGAACACCATGTGGGTGAGTAGGAAGTCGCTCACACAGGGCTCTGAAGGGAGACCAACATCACAACATCACAACATCACACGTTAACCTGCAGACTGACTCGGCCTTCAGCATGACGTGACGTAACAATCTGTTAGACCTGTACCCAGAGCATCGTTTCCGTTAGCATCCAGCTTGACTGTGTCCAGTAAGTGCTCCAGCAGTTTCTCAGGTGTCCCGGACATGACCGTGTACCTGCACAGAGTGTGGTCCGTGAACTGTGGCCCTCGATATGTCACTGTTTCCTAAATCTCTGCGGGTTCCATCCAGCGCTGTGTGTGTGTGCGTTTACTAACTTGCTGCTGTTGTTTCCTGCTCCACCTGGTTCAACAGAGGTGGCGCTCTTCTCCAACACCAGCACTGTTTTTCCATGCTCCTCCAGTCGAACTGTATTAGCCTCCACATCCTGTAGACAGCAGCACAGACGACACACACAGTAGGATGTGGATCATTATCATCATCAGAGAAACTGACCTAGGAACAGACTCTAGATGTTGTGAACCAAAGCCTGACCTTGAGGATTCGTATAAAGTCCTGTTTATCAACGCGAAGGAAGTGGCAGTTGTCTTCTCTCAAGATAATGGTGGCAGCGCGTGGAGCGTCGTTCAGCAAAGCTAGCTGACCAAAGTCCTCACCTTCATGTAGCGTGGTGACCAGTCCCTGTAAACAAACGAACGAACAAACCAACTTTGAGCATTTTCTTATCTGAACCTAAAATGTCGAAGAGCAATTCGGAGGAAGACGTTAACTACTTAATTTACCTTCCCATGTGTGATCACGTTGACCGAGCCTTTCCAAATAATATACCATGACGTGCCTTTGTCCCCCTGACTGAACACTGCAGTATAAAAGAAGACAAACAGGGTGAGAATTTGTAACAATAATTATAAATTTGGTTTCACAACAAAAGTACGGTGCTTTTCTGACAGAGGTATGCCAGTATCCTGCCCATTTACCATACCTGTCAAGATGGCATACGCTATCTTACTGCAAGTGTGCAGGAAAGAAATCCTCTGTCAGAAATTGTTGCAATAAATAAGTATTACAGTTTAGCAGTAGGTGAAGTACGTCCGATATATATACAGTATCTGCTGATGATTTTTTATAAAATATTGGTTTACAGTACTGCGTCGGAAAGAAATCGACATAGAAGGAAAGATAGAAGATAAAACATATCTACAGTAAGACCTGTGATACACAGATGGTGTGTTTGATGGATATACATTTGAACATGTTCTGACACCTCTGTGTCTTTGATGCAGAAAGGATGACTTTGACTTTATACAAGCGATGTGTCATCATCTGTAGATGGCAAACGTCTCCATCACCTAAAGCTCAAACGTCAGCAAAACTGTCACACTCACAGACTGTTCCGGCCTTAGCATGTGACTCAAAGACCAGCACTGCTGCCAGCTCCTTACGCACCTGGAGACAAAAAGGAAAAGAAATCAGCTGAATTTAAAACCTGTTGTGTTGTGTTGTTGACGTAATTTACCGGAGAAAGGAACAATAAAGACCAGAGGCAGGTTAATCTGGAGGCTCATATACTGTGAGCATTTTTTAAATACATTTCCAGGGCAGTCGTGTTAGACGATCTTTTGTAGAGAACCAGCTTTTCAACTATGTAGCTGAAAGGTGTTTGATACAATAGTGAGTCAGGAAAATTGCAACAGTTCCAAGTCGGGCACACGACTCTGAGATATCATATGATTCAGATCAGTGGCAGATATTGTTTTCCTTCTGGGAACAAAAATTAAGTTTGTGGGTCAAAAGACGTCACTGCAGAAAAGCTCAGTCACTGAGCAACCAGAGAGGGGCGCTGTTTTACAAACTCTCTAATGTTAAATGATTTTCCTATTTTAACATTTAGTTCTGCAGTTTCATAACAGACTTTGTAGTAACCTGAGCTGGCAACTCATTGCTATTGTTGTGCTGGTGTCTTACAGCAACAATATGTTGTGTATAAAAGTCCATTTCAGCAACAGCAACGGTTTCATGTGATGTGATTTTTCATAGCAGTTTTAATCTTGTGTATGTAGTTTGACTTTTGAAGTATATGTCAGTCTGACCATCACTTAATAATTCAACGGGCCAACTTTGGGCCAGTAGCCCTACCTTGGGCACCCTTGATCCAAGTTGCGGTATTTTTCGAACACAGAGTTGATATCTTATACAAGATAAAAGTGACTAAATATTTGATGACAATGGCAGGAGTTAGAAGAGATTGTAAATGACGACGGCTCAGGTGTGTTGACAGATACTAACTGATGCAGAGAGATGAGCAGCGGCCTTGACGTGGAGCAGCTCCTCAAAGATCACCTCCAGCTCCTCGGCACTTCTCTGACTCGGACTAAACTCAGAAATAGAAGAGACAACATCCAGAGGTAGTCAATGATGGACACTACTGGAACTTCACTGAAATATGTGTTTGTTGTCTCACCATTTGCGAAGGATCATAGTGAGCAGAGCGTCAGGACCCAGCTGGGACAACAGGGACAGACCTTCATGCAGCTCGTCCTCCGAGTCCCTGTCGTCCGTTATGTGATGCAGGCCGAACTCTGTGTTTTTGAAGCGGTAGAACTGTGTGTCCTTGTCTAGGAAGTTCAACTCGTGTTTAACTACATTCAGGACAGAGACAGTGAAGTACACGTCAGTGTTGGCTTTTGGACGTTGTGTTAGCTGTAAAAAAGAAGACGTTAGCTTGAATAAATGTCTTTTAAATGACACTTTCTAATATCATGAAGCAATCGATTCTGATTGGAGTGTTCTGGAAAGACGGCGTTAGCAGTAAGAGAGAGAGGGGAAACACTTCAAGATCTTAAAGAGAGTCTGTCGGACACTTTTAACGGAGATTAATCAGCGTTGTCTGGGGCAGTGAAATCAGAATATATTAGGAAGACCAGAATTTCTCTGATTAGACCAACAATCAACAATGATATTATGTTAATTTCCTGCCGAGCGTTTTTAGCCACGAGCTGAGACGTAGTGAGAAGAACCACACCATAAATAATTTCAGTCTAAACTTCTGATTCTACAAAACGTCGTCTTTTACCGTGAATGAGAATTCCTTCGTCCACCAACACCTGCCAGATCCCGACTGCTTGACTTCTTGACTGAAGACATTCGTTCTGCTTCATCAGCCAATCCACGAGTTCTTTACCAGAACTACACTGCCTGTGTGTCTTGAGGTGGTACTTCCTGTCTCGGATTAGCCCGGGGTTTCTCTCAATCATGACGTTGTAGACGGACCTAGCTGCCTTCTCGATACGATCTGAAAGAAACTGGACGTGAGAAATAAAGATTATGTAAGGATTGTTCCCGGTACTTATACCAGTACAGATACTGGTATTGGTACTGCTTATTGGTGGGATACATTTTAGTCAATAAATAAGGCCCTATATAAATTTGAACCTCAGCATGGAACTCTTGTTCGGTCACATAGATGTCAGATCTGTGGTGGAAATGTGTTAAAAATGGCTTCAGGAAACTCTTCCCCACGTTTCAGAAACTTGCCGTCTGGCAAATGCTAACAACAAACTTTCCCTTTCCGACCACCATCAGCCCCCCCACACCCTCCCCCCCTAACCCCTCACACACACATGTACATGTACTCTATACCCACAACTCAGATCCCACCCACATCAAGGAAACTAGACGCAGGTGTTCAGGTCTTTCCAGACACTGATGCAGAAACAGAGCTTATGCAACAAGAATGAGTGAAGTCACTGCTGCTGTTTTCAGGAGTTTTTTTCTCCTCTTTTTGTTTAACCAAACACATCACATTTAAACACCAAACGTTATATAATGATTGACCAGAAGCTAATATTCTTGTTTTTGTCCCTCCCTTTCAGACTCTCCCTCATGCGTGTCCTGTACCGTGTCTTGTGATTTCACGAGTCACTCAGATGGTTGCCTGTTTGTTCTTTGGATTTCCCCACAGGCGTTAATTTCTGCGGTGGACGTAAAAATGAACAAAATGTGAAATGAAAAAAAGTGTTGAGACTTTGTCAACTCTCACATTGTGTTTTCTTTGGTTGGAAGTTTTACAGTATCTACTTGAGGTCGATGCCTCCCGTGGTGTTCTACCAAAGTTCACGGCATTAAAACACCGTGTTTTGACCCTGTGTGACCTGCTTTATGACAACAACAATCGTTTGCATTTTCACGAGGGGAGGACGCTGTAACGCTTGCTTGTTACTTCGAGGTTCATACGGGCCTGACAAATATCGTCCACAACTTTGATGAAGTACTGGGAGCAACAGTGTTCGTGACACTGAGCTGGTTCCCAGACCTGACCACTGTAGAGTAATGCCCTCAATCGTCTCATGTGCCCCAGTGAAGTTATGTTTTCTCCAGATCACAAGTGTTCCCAGGAGCTTATATTTTCTCTGGGAGTTACACAGCCACATTCTCAGGCCTGTCAACCCGCTCCCCCCACACACACACCCACCGCTGCCCCCTGGTTGTCCTCTTGATGAGGTAATTTTCCACGTAGTAACCCAGATCTGAGGAAAAAACAATATTGGAAACCGTACTTCATGAAGGCGAATCGCAAGAAAGTGCAACTGATACTGAAGGATGAAGATGAGTGCGTGTGAAACACTGCTGTAAACCTGTTTTATGGCCAGGGCTTGTTCTACTGATGAGGTCATTTTACAGTGGACTGTCCATTACAGGCAGTCTACAGACGACTGATGAGGAGTGTGCTGTCTTGTTATTTGTGTGCCGTCAGGTATTTGTTCAAACATGCATGTGATGTCAACGTCACACACTCCAAACTTTCTTATACAACCAGAACAATGGTGACAAACGTATCAGCAGAGCAGATGTGCAGTGACAGGAACTGTTCTAAGACTTTAACCAGGGATCCCTGTAAACTGTGGTGGTTGAAGGTTAGGTTCTTCTGTTGGATACAGTTCCGTCTCCACTGTGGGACTGGGAACTTTGCTGATTGTCCTGAACAATATGAATCAGTCTGTACTGTGGTTGATAGAACATCCAGTACGGCGAGGAACACTTGCTAGGCAACCCAACAAAGCCTCAGGTGGTTGATCACACCTGCCTCCCACAGACTCTTTCACTCCATCTTATCAATTCCTTTGCTCTGGGACCAAATGAAAATCCCTGGGAGTCATTTCTTAGAGAATAAAAAAAGACTTTCTGTCAGTGTCCTCTGTAGGAGACAACAGGAATTTCAAACACGATCCGTTTCCCTCGTCGAACGTTACATGGGTTTCAAATGTTTTCCCTTTGACTCGCAGTTGAAGAAGCTGCTCTGAAGCAGCGTTGAGGCGTGGGGGGGGTCGAGGTCGAGGTCAGGCTGCTGAGGGGTGGGATGTTCAATTAGCACAGAGGCCTGGAGTGCCCTTCACACTCCTTTTGACTGCATGACCCTCCAGGAATGTGTTTTTTTTAAAGACTCGCTTGAGTAGCAATGCAGGATATTATAGCAGCGAAAGGACAAGTTCAGCAGTTTGACAGGATGCAAGCGCTGCAATCCTGAAAGATACCAGAGGTCAGCGCAGGCTACTCGAGGCCAAGTACAACAAATAGAAAAGTTATAGAAAAAAAAGAGGCAGCTTCTTATGAGAATCCCACCTGACTGACAGGCTAATGAGTAACAATAACGAACTATTATTTAACGCAGATAACTGAAGGTCAAATATCTCTCTCAGCTTGTTTTTGGTTCCACAGTCTGGTTTTCAGCTGAGATCATTACGCCAATTCTTGTTGGCTCCAGGTTTGAAAACAGAGGGATTTTTGAAAGTTTTGGAACAAAACAGAGAGCCAAGGCTGTGTGCGTTTAACAAAAGTATTTTAATGCTAATGACTTTACGCTGGCTCCCCGCCCTGGTCGAGTCACATACCTGGGTTTCGATTGTTTGTACTGTGTGTATCATTGCTTTTAATTACATTTAATCAGGATCAATTATGTTCATTTGGTTAATGCTGTTGTTATCTCATTTGTACATATGTGTAAACGTTCATACCTGTACTGCAGTTTGGTCCATTAATCTAAAATCATCTTAGGTTTTAACAAAGCTTCTTTTGCATAAAAATACATTTTAAAAAATCATCAGACGTGAGTTTTTCTCCTCTTTAAAATTCAGTTGGTCAATTGTACCTGTTGTCATTGATTTCCAAACTCAAACTCAAAAAGTAACAATAAAATGAAAAGGAACCCATTATTATAGTGTGATTCTATTTAGTTTGTGCATGAATGAATCATCTGTTTAAAAAAAAAGAAAAGATTCAACTCATATTTTCCCCCAGACTGTGATGTCAACGTCACACACTCCAAACTTTCTTATACAACCAGAACAATGGTGACAAACGTATCAGCAGAGCAGATGTGCGGTGACAGGAACTGTTCTAAGACTTTAACCAGGGATCCCTGTAAACTGTGGTGGTTGAAGGTTAGGTTCTTCTGTTGGATACAGTTCCGTCTCCACTGTGGGACTGGGAACTTTGCTGATTGTCCTGAACAATATGAATCAGTCTGTACTGTGGTTGATAGAACATCCAGTACGGCGAGGAACACTTGCTAGGCAACCCAACAAAGCCTCAGGTGGTTGATCACACCTGCCTCCCACAGACTCTTTCACTCCATCTTATCAATTCCTTTGCTCTGGGACCAAATGAAAATCCCTGGGAGTCATTTCTTAGAGAATAAAAAAAGACTTTCTGTCAGTGTCCTCTGTAGGAGACAACAGGAATTTCAAACACGATCCGTTTCCCTCGTCGAACGTTACATGGGTTTCAAATGTTTTCCCTTTGACTCGCAGTTGAAGAAGCTGCTCTGAAGCAGCGTTGAGGCGTGGGGGGGGTCGAGGTCGAGGTCAGGCTGCTGAGGGGTGGGATGTTCAATTAGCACAGAGGCCTGGAGTGCCCTTCACACTCCTTTTGACTGCATGACCCTCCAGGAATGTGTTTTTTTTAAAGACTCGCTTGAGTAGCAATGCAGGATATTATAGCAGCGAAAGGACAAGTTCAGCAGTTTGACAGGATGCAAGCACTGCAATCCTGAAAGATACCAGAGGTCAGCGCAGGCTACTCGAGGCCAAGTACAACAAATAGAAAAGTTATAGAAAAAAAAGAGGCAGCTTCTTATGAGAATCCCACCTGACTGACAGGCTAATGAGTAACAATAACGAACTATTATTTAACGCAGATAACTGAAGGTCAAATATCTCTCTCAGCTTGTTTTTGGTTCCACAGTCTGGTTTTCAGCTGAGATCATTACGCCAGTTCTTGTTTGCTCCAGGTTTGAAAACAGAGGGATTTTTGAAAGTTTTGGAACAAAACAGAGAGCCAAGGCTGTGTGCGTTTAACAAAAGTATTTTAATGCTAATGACTTTACGCTGGCTCCCCGCCCTGGTCGAGTCACATACCTGGGTTTCGATTGTTTGTACTGTGTGTATCATTGCTTTTAATTACATTTAATGAGGATCAACTATGTTCATTTGGTTAATGCTGTTGTTATCTCATTTGTACATATGTGTAAACGTTCATACCTGTACTGCAGTTTGGTCCATTAACGACGTGTGAATAATAAATAATCTAAAATCATCTTAGGTTTTAACAAAGCTTCTTTTGCATAAAAATACATTTTAAAAAATCATCAGACGTGAGTTTTTCTCCTCTTTAAAATTCAGTTGGTCAATTGTACCTGTTGTCATTGATTTCCAAACTCAAACTCAAAAAGTAACAATAAAATGAAAAGGAACCCATTATTACAGTGTGATTCTATTTAGTTTGTGCATGAATGAATCATCTGTTTTAAAAAAAAGAAAAGATTCAAATCATATTTTCCCCCAGACCTTCA